GTGCGGGGGGCGGCGGGGCCGGTCCAGGTGTGCCCGGGGGGAGCCTTTCCGTTCCCAGGGCCGTGCGAAGGGGCCGCTTCCTTCCCGCGGGGGGCGGCGCGGCGCCAAGCCCGGCGCCGGCCCCGGGGACCGTGTTGACAAACACGGGGCAGGATGTGCGGGGGGGGGAGCAGACCTGGATTGAGGGCTCCCCCCCGTTCACGGGCCGGGCTGGGGCTGTGGGGTGACCCCATCTCAAAACAACAGCCCTACAAGCTCTAGGGGTGCCCTCCCTGCCCCGGAGCCGTGATTCTGCCTTGTTGTAGGGGTGCTGCCCCACGACGTGACCTCTCTCAGGCTCTAAAATTGTCCGCCTTGTTTTTTGGGGACACCCCCTCACTCTCCAGACCCCCAGGTTGTGGGGGTGCCCCACACTTAGGCGCCCGTGGGGGAACCTGTGGGGTTTCCCCTCTCTCCCTGGGCTAAATCCTTCCCTCCCCAAGTTGTGGGGTTCTCCCCCAGCACGATTATAGGGCTCCCCCAGTTTGTAGGGCTGTGCCCCCCTCCTCTGTGGCCTTCACAGGGTTTGGGGAGCAGGAGGTGCCCCCATAGGTGGCTGCGGCCTCCCGAGGCCACCACAGCCAAGCGAGGTGAGGACTCTGCGGAGTCCCCCAGCGTGTTCCCCGCCGGGTGGGGTGTGGGGCGCAGCYGGAGCCGGGCTGGCTGCCCCACGGCGAGAGCCGCGACGCCTCCTGCTCCGGCAGCGCTGGGCCGGGCAGGGTGCGGGCAGGGCGCGCGTCCCAGCGGGTCCCCTCCCTGCTCCCCGGCTCTTGGGGAGCGCYGGGAAATGGGGTGCGCTCATCGCTCACTGCCGGGGGGCCACGCCGGAGGGAGAGCGCAGGGGGATTGTCCTTCCAAAGCYGTTCCAGGCGCTGCGAGACTCAGCAGACGGAGGGTGGACCCGAGGGTGCATAGGGCAGGGGGTGGTACCCCCAAGTGTGGGGGATTTGGGGGTGCAAACAAGGCCCCTACCCCGGACCTGACCCCTCCGCCCACCCTCCTGCCGCAGATTTGCGTGGAGTGACTACACGGTGGAGGTTCGTCTCAACGATTACCTGGATATTATCTGCCCCCACTACGAGGAGGGCAGCGTGGAGCCCCGGGCCATGGAGCGCTACACCCTGTACCTGGTGGAGCTCGAGGAGTACGAGGTGTGCAAGCCCCGCTCCAAGGAGCAGATCCGCTGGGAATGCAACAAGCCCAGCGCCCTGCACGGCCCCGAGAAGTTCTCGGAGAAGTTCCAGCGCTTCACTCCCTTCACGCTGGGCAAGGAGTTCAGGGAGGGGCACAGCTACTACTACATCTGTGAGTGCTTGGGGGGGCTGCGGGGGGGGCTCTGGAGGGCTGCGGGAATCCTCATCGGGCTCTCCCCCCATCTTTACCCACCCCACCTCTCCCTTCACAGCCAAACCCATCCATCACCACGGTGAAGCCTGCCTGAAGCTGAAGGTGACGGTGACGGGCAAAGGCAGTGAGTATCSTCACCCCCTCGGGGCCCCCCTGCGTCCCCCCCTTTCCCGCTCGCGGCGCCGGTGCCGGTGCCCAGTGTGGCCTTGGCTGCGCTGAGTCACGGCCCGGCCGTGGCCCCTGGCCAGCCCGGGGTGTGTGCACGCGTGGTTTGGCCGGGAAGGTGTTGGTGGACGGGGGAGGAAGGTGGGGGGAGCAATGGATAGTGAAACAGGATTTTGGGAAGGTTGGGGTGCTGCATTTCTCTGGCGTGACCCCCCTGTTTGTTCCGCAGCTCTGGCACCGCCCGCCCCGGCCTCGACGCAGAAAGGGAGGATTCAGGCAGGTGTGTTGGGGGTTCTGGGTTGGGGCTGAGCCAGCTTCTCTTCCGGGGGGAGAGGGTGGCGTGGGGGGCACCAGATTGAGCCCAACTCCCTTCCTGTGGGAATTGGGGGAGGTGGGGGGCACCAGACTGGACCAAACTGCCTCCTTGGGGGGATTGGGGCAAGTGGGAGCACCAGACTGAACCCAACTGCCTTCCTGGGGGAATTGGGGCAGGTGGGGGGCACCAGACTGAGCCAAACCGCCTTCCTGGAGGAATTAGGGCGGGTGGGGGGCACTGGGTTGAGCCCAGCTGCCCCTTCTGGGCTCTGGGTTGGGGCTGAGCCAGCTTCCCTTCCAGGAGATGGGGGGCACCAGACTGAGCCCAGTTGCCTTCCTGGGGGGATTAGGGTGGGTGGGGGCACTGAACTAAGCCCAGCTGCCCTTTCTTGGGGGGCAGGGTGGCACCAGACTGAACCCAGCTATCTTCCTGGAGGAATTAAGGCAGGTGGGGGGCACTGAGCTAAGCCCAGCTGCCCCTTCTGGGTGACTCTGGGGCTGGCTGAGGTACCAGGACTGGTGACAGCTCTGTGCAGGGTGATGTGCTGCTGTCTTGGGGCACAGCTCCTCTTCTGGGGGTGCTGATGGCTCCTATCTCCCCACCCCCCCTCACAGACGATGCGGCCGCACACGTGCTGAGGAGCGTGGGGCAGAACTCGGCCATGCGCAGCAGCAGCCGCCCCTTCACCTTCCTCAKCCTCCTGCTGCCCCTCCTGCTGCCGCAGGGGCTCTGAGCCGCCCCCCGTGCCCGGACCCGCCGAGGCTGTGACTACTGGGGACCCCCGTGTGGTCCCCGCACATCTGCCCCGGGCGCYGTGCCCTGCGCACATCTGGGCGAGGAAAGGATTTGTCAGTATTATGGGGCCGGAGGACCCGAAGCCATGGGAGCAGCTGAGCCCTCAGGCGTCCCTGACCCTGCCAGGATGGTCCTGGCAGCCAGAGGCCGAGCAGGAGCCTGGAGCTGAAGGGCTGAAGTGCCCCGGACTGGAGAGGGGCAGGGGGCTGGCACCCCTGCCCTGCAGCTGAGCTCRCCCACCACTCTCGGGGCTCTCTCTCCCCGTGGTGGGCTCGGACTGGAATGTGTCCTGCAGGCAGGGGATGTGAGGCTGGCCCGGTGACACCGCTGAGGGGGTGGCTGTCCCCCAAGTGTCACCAGCTCGTGGAGCACAGACAGGCTGGAGATGCCCTGCRGCCGGGGGAGGGGGGCTGTGACAAACATCCCCCACCCCATCCTTCATCCCCTGGCCCTTCCCCGTCCCTCCCCTCCGCTGGGTGCCGGAGGGGCCCCCAGCACCCCCTTTGTACAGCTTTCTACCACGGAACTTTTTATACCATTGTAGGGAATAAATAACCAAAAAACGCTGAGCTGCTGAGGCGTCCCCCRCCCCCATGGGCCAGGCTCTCCTGGCCCCTGTGGGGGGTTGGGCTGGTTAATTAATTAATTGGCTGGTGTTTGCACGGGGCTGTGAAGTGGCRGAGTGCCACAGTGGCTGGCACTGTCCCCGGCTTTATCTGGTGACACAAAGGCCTCCCCTGAAGGCATGGGCCCCTCCCCCCTGCACTGGAGTGAGCTCCCAGGTGTGGGGCAGCAATTCCTGGGATAGATCCCATGGGATGGGACAGATCCCACTGGGATGGGACAGACCCCACTGGAATGGGACAGACCCCACTGGGATGAAACAACCCATGGGTGGAACAGATTCCATGGGATGGGACAGACCCCACTGGGATGGGATAGATCCCATTGGAATGGGATAGATCCCACTGGAATGAAACAACCCATGGGGTGGGACAGACCCCACTGGGATAGGGCAGATCCCACCGGGATGAAACAACCCATGGGTGGAACAGATTCCATGGGATGGGACAGACCTGTGGGATGGGACAGACTCTATGGGATGGGACAGACCCCATTGGAATGGGATAGATCCCACTGGAATGAAACAACCCATGGGGTGGGACAGACCCCAGTAGGATGGGAATGGAATGGACCCCATGGGATGGGAAAGACCCCACTGGAATGGAACAGACCCCATGAGATGGGACAGACTCCACTGGAATGGAATGGACCCTATGGGATGGGACAGACCCCATTGGAATGAGACAGATCCCACTGGGATGGGACAGATCCCACTGGAATGAAACGGACCCTGTGGGATACGGCAGACCCCATTGGAATGGGACAGAACCCACTGGAGTTGAACAACCCCAATGGGGGATCACAAAGGGGTGACCCCAGGGATGTGGGACCCCCGAGGTGTGAGACATKGGGGTGCAGGGAACTGAGCTCACAGGGATTTGAGGCCTCTGGAACTGGGGACCCCAGGGAGTGAGGGGCTTGGAGAGGGGAGATCTTGGGGAGCCAGGATCACAGGGGTGCCAGACACCCCAAAGTGGGTGACCCTAGAGATGGAAGGTCAGGGAGAGGCGGGATCTTGGGGACACAGGGATGAGTGACCCCTAGGATGTGTGGGGGCACCCTGGGACRGGGGAGGTCACAGGGAGTTGAAACTGGTGGAAATAAGGATCC